AGAGAGCTGCAAGCTAGACTGAAGAGTAAGGGTGGAGGAGACCCAGAAGACAGCTCAGTCGTTAAGCACTTGCTGCAAAATCACGAGAACCCGAGTGAATCTGCAGCACCCACACAAATGCCAGGCAGGTATGGTGACCCCGCTGCAAGCACGGGGGAGACTCAGAGCACACTGGCTAGCTAGGCTATCAAACCCGGCGAGGGAGAAGCTGTGTCTCAACAACAACAACAACAAAAGTGGAGAGCCAAGGAAAGATGCTAGATAACAACTCTTAGCCTCCACGCACACACACACACACACACATATACACACACACATATACACACACACATATACACACACCACACACACATACACACACATATACACACACACACATATACACACACCACACACACATATACACACACCACACACACATATACACACACACATATACACACACTACACACACATATACACACACCACACACACATATACACACACATATACACACACTACACACACATATACACACATATACACACACATATACACACACCACACACACATATACACACACATATACACACACACATATATACACACCACACACACATATACACACACACATATACACACACACACATACACACACACACATACACACACACATACACACACACATATACACACACACATATACACACACCACACACACATATACACACACACCACACAAACATTTTTTCACACATGCACTCGTGTGTATTGGCTACATACAAGAACGAGTCGATTGTGACATCACGCGTGCCATAACATGTTTTCACCGTATTCGCCTCCGCGATTACTTCCTCTCCCCGCCCTCTCCTCTGGTTCCTTCCTCCCTTCATAGACCCCTTTAGCTCTGCTGTCTCTTTTCTATAACTCTCCATACAGGAGGAAACTTTCAAAACTTGTCACTCTGACTCTGGTTCCTTGAGTTCTAAATTCCCTCAATGATGGGCTGTAAACTGAAAGATGAAATAGCCCCTTCTCCCCAAATTGCGTTTGGCCACGACATTTATCACAGCAATGGAAAAGCAAACTAACACACCATCCATTTATATTATAGTCCACAAGATGCAAAGCCCAAAGGACAGAAAACAGATCAATGGTTTGGGGGCAGAGCTTATGGAGAAGGAATCGGCTTCAAAGGGACACCATGGACCTTTCAAGAGTAATGAATGTTTTCAATATGTCATTGTTGTGGTCACCATACAACCGTGTGCATTTATCAAACTCCTCAAATGATTTTTTTAAAAAAGCTAGCCTTATATAAATTATGCCACAGCAAGCCTGGTGTTTCAAAATGTGATAGAGTTAATATAAATAAGATAAAATGTGACAGACTGAACACAAATGCCATTAGTTAACAGCGCATAAGCAAACATAGGAAGGTTCCCTCCTTGGACCTCGCTGGACACCTGAATGATGGGCCACTGGCCAGCAGTTCCATTGGGGCCCCCATCATTAAACTGGAGTAAATTTTCTGCTGACACAAAGCTCTCTGCTCTCCACTTAGGGAGATCAGACGCAGGGTTCTTCAAATGACGCTTAGCAATCTCCTAAGCAATGTGACAAATAAATCACAATCGTGCAGACCAAAATGTCCCTCAAAGCAGGCTGACATTCACAAGGGAGGAGCGGGGAGATGAAGAGAAGCCTACTTGGTAACCCAACTGAGGGGTGATAGGCCAGAAGATGGAAAGCTCTCCCACAGACCCCTCCCATCCTGGCTAAGAGGACACTGGATGATGGAGAACCTTGGTGCTAAGGATAACGATGGTGATGCTGATAATGACGACAGTAATGATAACTCACCAGCTGTGTCAGCACTTTCCGACACCAGTAGCACACAGACTAGAGCTAGGATAAATATCTCTTCTGGTCCAAGACACCCCAATAGGTACCATAATGGCCCCACTTTTCAGAGGAAGGAAATGAGGCACCAGGATGCTAGGTACCTTGCCCAAGTCTACACACCGTACATGACAGAGCTGGGCTCTGAACCCATGGACCTCCAATCCCAGGAAAAGCACTGCTAACATTCTTGTGACACAATATGGGGATGAAGAATGTTTTTGCTCCAACCTAAGTATCTTTTCCAAGTTCTAGAGTGTGTAGATCATGGGAGTTATGTTTTTTGTTTGTTTGTTTGTTTTGGCTGTGGTCCATCGCTCTGTCTCTCCTGAAACACAACTGGATACTATGATCACAATCTGACTGGCCTAACTCTCGTGAAGGGATCACAGTGTCTCACTGGTTTTTCCCAGGCCGGGTCTTAAAAAGTGAGGGCTTCAGGCTTCATGTGAGCCTTTATAGAAAGCAAGAACATAGCAAGCAACCTGAGACTGGGAGACAAAGTAGCTAGGTGGTTAGTGAGCACAAGGAACATCTATCTGGTCATCCTAAAATCAAAGCTTCAGGCCCTCACAGCCACCTCTGTACGCCAACACCTGCAGTCACAACACATGGAGATTTATGAGGAAAGAAACCTCCTCATAGAAGACTAGGAACCAAGCAAATGCCCAGAATAGAAACAAGGAAGAAGGGTGGATTACTTGGGTCTGTAATAAAATCAACTATAGGCTTCCCCCATACAATATTTTTTTCCAATACGCATTCCAAGAAGGAAGCCACAATTCCTGGCCGGTCACAGTGAGTGAGCGTGTGTGCATGAGTTGCTAAGCCAGCATTCTCTTCACGTGTTTGACGCACTTTCACGTGTAATATGTTTACCATTCACTGAGTGCATCAAGGAACAACCCACAGTATGTTCAGAAACACCTGCAGCTGGGATTTTCTTCATCTCAGGCAGAATGTCCGAAATTGTTCACCCAGCTAAGGAATGCTTCTTGCTTCTAATGACAGACTCGTCTCAATCATTAATATGCCCAAGCTTTCTAAAGGACCCGTGTCTGGACTCTGTTGCTTGGGTTGCACATGTATTATTCACTAGTTAATGTGTCTTTATAAGAAACCTTAAAACATCCCTTGAACAAGTAGAGTGCTCTGCAGTCGCTATTTCAGTGTGCTCAGATTGTGTGTTCCCTGAACCCACATCCTCAGTCCTGGCCAGCAAACTGTGAGTAGAGATGCCACAGCCAGCCTTGCTGCACAAGATGTTCCAAACTTCCTTTCCTCTGATAGGAAACCTGCAGGGCTTTAGTTGGCTATCCTACCTGCCAAGAATCTCAGAAAGAGGAGACATAGCTGAGCCCCCCACAAGCATCTTATGTGAGTCCTTAAAGCTGTGGAAATGTGGAGTTCTTTATTGCTACAGCAGAGCAAAGGCCTTACAAGGGATGCAATTGTAGTCACATATCCCTCGAGCTAACCTGTGCCAAGTTCTATGTCTTCCTCGGATCCCTAGTAAGCTTCTGTATCTCCTGTCTGAAGGGCCCTAGCATGTAATGTCCATCAGAGTATGCCTCCTCCCCCACTATCCCTGCCCAGGAACACACACACACACACACACACACACACACGCACACGCACACGCACACGGACATGGACACGGACACACACATGCACACACACGTACACACACACGTACACACACATGCACACACACACGCACACACACACACACATGCACATACACACATACACACACACACACCACTCGAGGATGTCTGCCCAGCAAGGACTTGACAACCTACTACCTTCCCTGCTACACTGGAAAAAGTCATTTCACAGGCAAAGGGCACGGCTGCTTCCATGTCACAGCTGTACGTCCGACTTGGATGGCTGAGCCAGATAAAGCAGGACACTGAGTCGAATGGAGTGAATTCTGGTCTTAGGACAGAGAAGGAAGTAAAGCTCTAGAGGCCTGGACAAACTTGTTACAGGGAAAAATCAGCAAACATGAGCCCATCTGGCTATCCGTCTGAAGCCCCAGCTGTTTGCCCATCTGGCTATCCATCTGAAGCCCCAGCTGTTTGCCCATCTGGCTATCCGTCTGAAGCCCCAGCTGTTTGCCAGAATGCTGGCTTCCAGACCCCATCCCGGATTCCCCTAATCCAAATCAGATTCTCTAGGTGTGAAAGGGCAATGCAATCTTTACAAGCGCCCAGGCTATTCAGAGAGCCGGTCAGGTCAGAGAGCCATAGAGGTGAACCATGAAGCCCTTCCTGGTTTTGACATTGGAGATCATCACCTACAGATAGGACAGGTACAAGGCTGCATTCACATAAACCTGCTTGTGGGGTGAATCAGGAAGAGGCTCTGACCATGTAAGTAACAAACTCTCTAGAGACTGAGCAACCTTAGGCAGTGTAGGTGCAACTAACTTCCTGGCTTTCCGGATGCTGTACCAAAAACAAACCTAGGCTACTTAGGCTGTATATCCTGGATATCTTCAGTTAGCCACATTCCGAGCATGTATGTGACACTCACAGGGAGACACTTTCAGAAGGGTCTCCTGGCTAGGTTTAACGACCTACTATTGCTATGCAATCTGAGGCGTGGGGACTGAAAGCCCAGTCCCACTGCTTACGAGAATTGCTTCCTCGAAATTTTGTTCCTCTCCTCTTTGGATGCGAATTTTGCAAGTGATGTCTGACAAGGCAATTGCAAGCATACATGGAAAGAGGTACGTGAGACTAAGGCTTCCAGGTACTGTAAGCAGAGTCAGCATCCATGCCAAGCAATTGGCCTGGCACACCAGAGGCCACCCCACATGCCAAAGGCCACCGGGAACAGCCGGGCCCGAGACCTGAGCCCAGTTGGCTGGTGGCGATGACAACGATGAAGTCACGGCAGTGGCATCAACAGTGGAGAGCTGGTCTACCCACCAGCCCCTGGAGCCCATCTCAGAGGCAGCTGCACAAACGGGAACAGTCCATCCTGGGTGCTGGGAGAACGGCTGGTGTCCAGGCAACAAACTGTGTTAGTGAATTATTGCAAAACAAAAAGGACATAATGGACATGGTGATACCCAAGATATCCAAGCACTGTCAGAACTCTTTGGAGCTCAGACTCCCCAACTTTAAAAACTGATCAACACAGATAAGGAAACACTCACAGGCTTAGGAACCAAAACCAACTTTAAATGCTGCCGCACTCAACAGAAAAGAGCACCATTTATTTCCATAGGAAGCTTTGGATGAATGAGTTATTGGTAAGAAAGACATTTTTATCCCATTTCTAAGGTGCAAAGTCTTAGAGAGTGTGCTGTACTTTGGTGACTTTCTTCCTCTCCCTACACCGACTCCCCGTCCCCAGTCTGTTTTCCTCCTTCGTGTCCTATGTGTGCTTTTGCCACCAACCCTGTCCTTCCCTGTCACCTCCCTTTACCATCTCTTAGTGTCTGTTCTCAGTCTTTAGGTTTTACTTACACTTATACATGCACGCGTGCACACACACACATATACTCACACACACACTCACACACACATATACTCACACATACACTCACACACACATATACTCACACACACTCACACACATATACTCTCACACACATATACTCTAACACATACACATATACTCACACATTCACACACACACATTATTTTGCAGGCTCCATACATGATGGAGAATGTGCAATTTTGTCTCTGGGTTTGGACCACTTAGCTTGATACTACACTTTGCAATTAGGTCTACTTTTCTTCAAATTTCTTGACATCATTTCTCTTGCAGCAGCTGAATAGACTTACGCTGTGTATACGTACCACAGGTTCGTTATCCGCCCATGCACTGATGGGCATCTAGGCCGGTTCTATTTCCTTGCTCTACTACCATAGAAATAAATATGAGTGCGTCTGTGTCTCTGAATTAAGACGTGGGGTCTTCCGGATATGTGCCCAGTATCACCGTGTCTCATTTAATTTTTTTTCAGACGCCTCCACACTGCTTTCCACAATGGCTGTACTCGTTTGCACTCCCACCAACAGTGAGTCGGTCTGGTTCCTCATTCCCACGTCCTCAACAGCTCTTGCTGTCAGATGCCCTGAGAGTAGCCGTTGGGACACTGAAGTCCTTAAAGCCGCCACTTTGCTTTGAGCAATGTCTCTCTGCTTCATTGCCCCATCTTGCTGATTTATACGTTTGCCAGTTTTGTTTATCTGTTTGTGTTCATTGTTGCAGCTGTTTGTAAATTCTGGACATCGGGCTCCTATCGGAAGTACAACCAGCCAAGATGTCCTCCCAGTCGCTGGACTGTCTGATAGCCCAGCTGATAGTTGCCTCTGCTGTCATTTTAGGTGTTTCCACCTGTTAATTACTGGGCTAGTCCTGGGCTACTGTTCATAAGAGCATTCTTCCAGCTTCTCTTTCGCAGCTACCATGTTTCAGATCTTAAATTCAGAGAGCTGATCCATGTCAAGTTGATTTTTACTCAAGGTGAAAGACGGGGATCTGATTTCACTCCCGTTCGTGGGTAACCAGCTCCACAAGCACCAACTGTTGAATATGCCCTCTTTTTCCACCACGTGTGTTTGGTGCCTTTGTCAAAAATCAGGTGGCTGTAGCTTTGTCCATTTATTCCTGTGTTTGTCCATTCTGTTCCATGTGTCTGTCTGCTTTCATTCCAGTACCAGTTTTGCCACTCTAGTAAACACGGGGTCTGATGGTGTGATGCTTCCAGAAGTGGTCTCTCTCCTTGCAGTGGGGGGTTTGCTTTGCCTACTTGTGCCATTCTGAGGTACAATGTGAATGCTTAGATTGCTTTGTCCAGTTATGTGTAAACTGACACTGGAATTTTGGTGGGAATTGCATTGCATCTGTAGATTACTTTCAGTGACCTTTGAAATTCCCATATTAATCTGAGAACCCAGGGCCACAGAAACTATCCTCATTACCTATTATCTTTTTTGACTTCCTTTTTCAATGTCTGGGAGTCTTTGTTGTAGGTGTCTTTGAATTCCTTGGTTACACGTATTCCTAGGTGTTTAACTTACTTATATTTTAGCTGTTTATGAATAAGATGCTTTTCCATATGTCTTTTGATAAAGAGATTCTTGTTGGTATTATGGAGGCTACTGACTTTTGCATATCAGTTTTGTGTCTTGAAACTCTAACAGAAAGTACTTACCACTGTAAGAGCTTCCTGGTGTATATATAGCCTTTTAAGTGTAGACTCGTGCCATGTGTAACTGGGGGACAGTTTGAGTCCTTTGCTTTCCGTTTTGTGTTATGTATGCCTGTCTATCACCTTACTGTTCTCGCAAAGGCTTCAAGCACTATACTGAGTAAGCAGGGTAGGGAGCACCCTTGTCTCATCGTAGAAGGAAGGCTCTCATTCTGTCTCTGTTTAGTGAGCTGTTGCCTATAGCATGTATTCTTCTGAGATGTGCAGTGTCTATTTCTAATGTCATGACATGGGGTTTATCCTTTTGGACCACAGCCATCATCTTCTCAAGCAGAACTGTATGTCAAGCTTTCCCCAATGATTCATGAGGCCAACGTCTTTAAATAAAAACAGGACAACAAGTGAAGAGAGCATTGGGCTCCTTGAATGTGGGCCAGTATTTCCAAATGCAAAATAGACCACAGCTCCAGCCCCCTGCTTTATAGATAAACAACAAGATGACCTTTTATGTCAGAAAGAAGCAGAGAAAATTCCATTCCTTGTGGAATGTTGAGTTTGGAACCAAGTTTTTCTGTGTTTCTCCTCAAAACAGCAAGCCACAAAATGTCCCCAGTAGGTACAAGTGATAGGCTGGTAGATACAAGTCGCCCCTATGGCCAACCCAGATGTTCAAACAACTGGTCTTGCTCCCTTTCCAAACCAAATGCTCCAAGCACTCTCCCCGACAGGAGTAGAAATCCCCCTCTCTCGTCATGCTGCCTGCTGGGCTCTTAGGAGGTCACACTCTCCCCAGCCATTAGGTTTCAAGTAGTCAGCTTATCCCCACTCTCCTCTCAGCCATTTCTGAAGGAGCTGAGGCTGTGTCTCTGAATTCTTACCCGGGGCGGGGGGGGGGGCACTACAGAACTGCACAGTTCCTGCAAAGCTTTTGGTCCCCTATCTCTCCTGTCACTAGCCCCAAACTTGCTTAAAGGGGAAAAAAAAACATGTTCCCAGGCTCCACAAGCCTGGGGATAAAAATGAGGGTGGCTGTAAAGTCATGTTCCCACCCTCCTCACAAGCAAATCTGTTGCCCCCACCAATCTTAACAGTTCAGGGTGGGACTCAGATAATTATTCTCTTTACAGGACAACTTCAGAAAAACAATTCTTCAGGGTGACTTTAAAATAGAACTTAAGTTGCAAACTTCTGGTTGACATGCAACCTTCCAAGAAGAGGTCAGGGACACACGAAGCAGTCTGCTCTTTCTGCTTTTAATCTCCCCCAAGATACTTAGTTCAACAAGAAATACTCAGAAAAACAAACACTTAAAAATCTTTGTTGGGTTCTATTTGATTTGCTTTTAAAAATAACTCTAATATAAAATTGCTTTATCAGAGCTGAAAACACAGGACATTTCTGTCAAATCATCCAGTTGGAAAGAATAAAGAGGTAGTCAGGGAAAGAGACAAAGACAGACAGAGACAGAGACAGAGACAGAGAGGGGTGCTCTTGACTCAGAACTGGAAGATGTGGGATGAATATGTGATAGTCAATCACAATTGTCAACTTAACAGGACCTAGGATCAACTAAGAGCCATTCCTCTGGTAGGGCCTATGAGGGTATTTCTAGAAAGGTTCAACTGAGGGGAGAAGGGCATCCCCAAGAGTGGGTGGCACTAGTGATGTTGGCCCAGGTACAAAGAGCTCCTACTCAAAAGCAGTCTTCCTGCCACGACTCTTGCTGGTGAGCTCCTCTCCCTTGTGCTGTTGCTGTAGATGTGTGGTTCCTGCCTGTATCCTTCACTGACTTCAGACCCTGCCTCCTGCAGCCTCCCAATATGAACTAAAGACCAGAGACTTTCCAGGAACCTTCTAGCCCTTCAATATCAAATTAAGACTGCTGAGACATCCAACAACCTGGACTGAGCAGCTGAGTTCTCAACTTCACCACTATGCAGCCATCTTGGACGAGCTCTGTTCTATTGGATAAGCCGTTCTAGGAAGTCTTCCTCCGAAATATATATACACCCCCATCCATTCTGCTCCTGTAGGGAACCGGTGTAATACAAAATGGCTAGAAGTGGATTAGACGGCTTGTTTTTATTCACAGTGGAGTCTTTATTCCTGGCAGCCATCTCATACATCACAAGCCCGCCGGGCCAAAGATGGAGAAAGGCTGACGCTACTTCCGGGACCAACACACTGCACATCAGCCGTGATTCTGTGGGGTGGCAGGTACACAGCCCATCTGTCAACACGACAGTGACTCCAGATTGCTGACAGGCACAGTAGTGACCGTATACCCTGAGTATCTAATCCAGAGTTACTTACAGGGTGAAGGAGTGGGGATATTTCTAAAGAGTTCACCGGCTAGGTGAAGATACTGAACACACACACACACACACACACACACACACACACACAGACAGACAGACAGACAGACAGACAACTCGAAATTTGAGTAACATATAAGCGGGCCAAACAAGGGTCACATGGGCTGGGAAGGAGGCTGGGAAGGGGATGGGGAAGCTAGTGACTGCCAGTGGGTGAATGACTGAAAACTAAGAGGAGCGTGGCACTGAGAAATTATGCTGAGAAAGGATGACAGCATAATTTATAGCCACCAAACAAATGTCTCTGCTGGTCACCACCAGTAAGTACAGTCTCACCTCTGGACACACGCAGCAAACTCAGGACCAACTGTTTACTTTGTAAAATGCTAGAAAGCATGTGCCGCATAGAAAACCGTTGTCTGCAGCAGCACCGCTGTCAGTTCCCTGGTGACAAGAAGAAGCTGAAAAGGCAGAGCCTCCCCAACCACTGACATGCAGGGCCCACCACACACATGGAGGGAAACACCAGTGCCCTCCGCCCCCCACGAGTGATGGCTGGAGCTTTCTGCATTGGCTTTTCCGAGGGCTGCATCTTTGTTCCAGTCACGCAATTGCTTTATTTCCCAATAATGCAGTCACCCCTAGTGTCTACAGGGAGTCAGTTCTAGAACTCACATATACTAAAGCCCACGAACACCCAAGTGCCTTACATAAAATATACAGTGTTTGCACATAACCTATGCACATCTCTTGGACACTTTAAACTACCGCTGTGTTATTATAATAACAGACACAATGGTAATGTATACAAATAACCATTGCCTTGAATTGTTAGGGAAAATCACAAGAAAGCATCTGTACATGCTCAGTATGGGTGTAACATTCTCTGTCTGCAGCTGGTTCAGTGCACAGATACAAGAACTCTTCGTTGTTTTCTGTTAACATCTCTCCCTCTTTTTTGCCCTCATAACCACAGAACTATTTTCAATAAAGAGTTGTGGCATGTAAAGTTGTGTGATGCACTAACCAGCTACCTTGCCTGGTTTCCCTGCCTATTGCTGCAGTAAAATGTCCTGGCAAAAGCTTAGAGGAGAGCAGGTTTGTTAGCTCACAATCGCACACTCTACTCCGCCGTGGGGCAGTCAGGGTGGCAGGAACCTTGGGCGGCCAGTCACACCACAGCCACACTCAAGAGCAGGGCAACGGGATGCTCACGTCCCTACTGCTGGGTTCTCTTCCTCCAAAACTAGGAAACTGTGCTACCCACTTTTAGACTGGGTCTTTTGCATCAGTTAATGTAGTCAAAACAGTCCCCCGGTGTCACGCCACAAGCCACCTGCTCTAGATAACCCCTCTCTGAGACTCCCCTCTTCAGCGATTCCTAAAGTCTAGATCTAGATGCTAAAATGTCAAACTGACAATTAAAAACAATTATCATAGTTCCCAAACAATCTGTTCACAAAAAAATACATTAACTATGAACCGTGTTTCCAGCAAGACCCTAGGATACTCGGTTGTACTCACTGTGCCTAAGAGGACATATTAAAAATTTCTCATGTGAAGAATTTCACATATGCACACAAAACTGGAATAATTCATGTTCTTCATTTCTGATTAGCTCATTTGGTTAAGATGACCCAGATAGCAGGAGGAAATGGGCCGTCCAGCTTTTATTTAGAAAAATGTTGACTTGTTGTTTTAAACTTAGACTTAGGAGAGACTTCTCAGTCTTGAGTCCCTGCCATTGGGTCTCCGTTATATTTTCTTTACACTAAGATTTGTCATCTTTGAATAACAGATGCGGATTGGGCGTAAAATCAATGATTGGTCATCTCACTTGATAGCATAGATTTTACAATGGTGCCAGGGTAGAACTCAAACAACCCTCCTACCTTAGCCTCCAAAGTAGCTGGGACTATAAACTCAGCTGACCACTCCCAAGAGCAGCCTTAGAGTCAGAAAATCAGCCTTTTCCATTAAATTTCATCTGCTTAGCTTCCAGCTGCTGTATATGTATATATGTATGTATATGTATGTATCACATGTCATCTCTATCATACGTAGTATGTTTGTAAGCATGTATCACATGTCATGTCTATCATATGTAGTATGTATGTGTGTGTCTCCATCGTCTGCATGAGTACTCTAGCCGGTTCACCAGCAATGAAAAGAAGGTGAGAAGGCAGAGCCCCCTGATCTTTCCGGCGGCCGCAATACAAATGGAGTGCCAGGAACACCGGGGACTCCTGTGAGTGATGGACATGCATTATTTATACATCCGGATCTGTGAGATCTCCATCTTCTGGACAATACGTAAGCATTTGCATTCTCTACAGATGCAAAAACATATGGTTTTAGGATGGGAGGAACCTGAGGGTTTCTCCTGAGCTGTTCTTTGGGTATAAGGACCTCCACGGAGCCACTTAACATGACAAGCTTCTTGTGTGCCTTTAAACAGAATTCAATTACACAAATTAAATTCGTATAGATGTGCTCACATTTCCAGGAATATGTCCGCTGTATATAATGAGATGAACTTATAACACTATTTGGCTTATCTTGCAAGGGCTGTAATGTAAACTGGTAAAGAGAAAGGTGCAAGTCCTGCGGCCATCTCAGCGCTGGGAGGCTGCACGCGGCTGCCTCTATGGAGGCAGAAGTCCTGCGGCCATCTCAGGGCTCGGAGGCTGCACGCGGCTGCCGCTATGGAGGCTGCTTCTGTCCCAGGACTTTTGAACCGCTCTCCCTCAGCCTGCACAGGTTACCATCTTGTTGTTACTAATCAGATACGTGCATGGCCGAGTCTCGGCTCCGTCCACACCTCAGTTCAAATGAATCTTCTCGGAGAAGGTCGGGGGTCAGTGCAGCTCACACAGCTCTCCCACACTCTGTTAACGGTCATCATGGTCTGGGCTATTGGATGGATTAGTGGTATGTGTGCATGTGTGTGTGTGTACATGCATGAATACATGCTTGTGTCTGTGGATACATGTATGCAGATGCAGCTGTGTGTTTGTGTGTGTGTGTGTGCACATGCATGAGTACATGCTTGTGTCTGTGGATACATGTATGAAGATGCAGCTGTGTGTGTGTGTGCACATGCATGAGTACATGCTTGTGTCTGTGGATACATGTATGCGGATGCAGCTCTCTGTGTGTGCCTATGAGGTCAGAGCTTACTGTCAGGGATTCTCCTCGATTTTTCTGCTTGTTTTTTATTTTAATTTATGCTTTGGCAATTTCATACATGAATACAATATATTTAGATTACATTCAGGTTTTTTTTAGACATGTTCTCTCACTGAACCTGCAGGTTGCCAATTCAGCTAGACTGGGTAGCCAATGAGCCCCAGGGATGCTCCTGTGTCTCTAGCCCCGAGATTATAGGCACACACGCCACACCCATGTAAAAAGCCGGGTGGGTGCTGGGAATTGAGCTCCGGTCTTCATGCTTACACGGCAAATGCATTACCAACTTCGTGGTTTAGTGATAAATGAGGCCCCTCTTTATTTATTTATTTATTTATTTATTACTAAATGCTCTGAATGAATTGTAAACTTCACAAAGACGCGGATATTGTTTTGTGTTCCTCTGCTCTCCAGCCACATTTCTGGCTCCTAGAAGGGCATCTGGAGCATAAAGGTCAATAAATATTGAATGAAAGAACAAGCAAGCCAGCTAGCTCTTAGTCATGCCTCAAGTAGATTCTGCAAGACCTTCAGAACCCTGAGCCTCTGTGTGCCCACAGCAATCTCAAGAAATGCTGCGTCTGATCCGCAGAACCCTCTCTCCAATACAGCCCTCCCCGCTGACCCTGCAAAGAGACCTTTCTGCAAACTCCTCCTCTTCTGTTGTCTCGTTTCTCAAATTAAATGATTAAGCACCTTCCCTCCCGATTTCCTCGGTTATTCAATAAAATACCTGCCTCATGTCAGACACAAGCAAACAGGAAATGACTAACAGCGCATTGGAGCTGGGGGGAGAGTGTATGGCCAAGGGGAGACTGGGACCAGGGCAGGGGCTGGGCTTTCGGGGATGGATCAGGAGCGCCAACTGGGGTTGGGAGAGCAGGCATCCTCAGAGAGGAAACGAAGGGCACGCGGCTTTTGAGTAGAAAGGACAGACAACACAGGAAGGGACAAGGCAATGAAGTGAAGTCTGGCTCTCCTGTACAGGCGAGAAGCGCGTGAGACCATGTGACCACGCACGTCTATCCATGCGTGTACTTCTCCCCCTGCAGTGGGGAACATCGGGCAGAAGAATGCCGCTCACACGCAAAGCAAGCCTGGGACATGTGACATCCTAAACACCTGCTGCTGTGGGTCACAGGCCGCCATCTTCCCTTTGGAAGGGTGTTATGAGAAGCTTTTCCTTGTGAGGAGCCTTCCCGCCCGCCTGGTTCTAGATCGGCATCAGTCCCAAATAAACACACAGGAGGCTATATGAATTATGAAGCTGTTGGCCTTGCTTGTCTCTTACTGGCTAGCTCTGCCTTAAGTAATTACCCCATAATTGTTAATCTAAGTATGTTTCTTACCGGAGAAGTTTCCGGGCTCCTACCCGGCGTTACATGTCGACTCTCCTGTGTTTCTCCTACCCAGAATCCTCCTGGATTCCTAGCCCCACCTATCTAGATTCCTATTGGCCAGACAGTGCTTTATTAGCATAAGACTTCCCCAACAGAAGGGGAAGAGAACCAGAAGCAGACACCTGACCCAACAAGTGCAGTCACCACACAAGTGAGA